TGTTATATAGCTGGTAGAGATCACCAACTACAAAATTTATATTCTATAGGCCGGGGCAAAGCAGCTCTCCATCTTAATCTGTTTCGTTAGCTCCACTCGGTCTTCTCTATTATATTGCTCCAAATAATATCTCAACTGCCATTATTATTATTAGTGGAAGTTCTTGTTGACCCAAAGAATACATGTGGTGAGATTTTGAATGGGATGATGTCAAGTTAATTATTACGTGTTGGAAGAGCTTGATTTTGTGTCAATACATTAATATTAGTTTTGGCTGAAGCTCAAGATCAGAAGGTTCTTCTGAATACCTAAGCAAATATGTCAGATTCATTATTAAATTATTTTTTCTAGTTTGATCAAATTATTGATATCTCATGATTGGATCCCATCAACTGATCTCCGGAATGTTAATTTTTTTTTTATCTGTACAAAGAATTCGCCAGAAAATTTTAGCAATTGCTCTTTTAAGTAGTTCGAGACTTGATAAATCATATTTGTCATCCATCAGCGTATTACTAGTGTTGCATTATGATATATTAAATCAATATTTAGAAACGATATCAGTAAATAAAACTAAGGCATGGATTTATAAATACGAATGTACGAGCAAAATATTAATTTAATTTAAATTCTGATAATTGGGAAAATTTGTTGGAGGTGGAATCCAAATGTGCAAAAAAGATAAAAAATAAGAAGATTTGTTATAAAAATTATTTTAGATGTAAAAATTCTGATAATTGGGAAAGATATAAAGAGGCACGTAAAGAATAAAGGAAAGTAATACGCGATGCAATGATCTTAGCTTTTGATGATTTATATAATATATTAGATACTAAAGAGTGAGAAAAATATATGTATAAGTTAGCCAAATGTAGAGATAGAAGTAGTAAGGATTTAGTTCAAATGAAATGTATTAAGGATGAAGATCAAAAAGTACTTTCATTAGAAGATGATATTTAATAAAGATGGATGATATATTTTGATAAACTTTTTAAAGAAAAATGTGAAAATACGATTGACTTTAATGACCTTAGCATCATGAATGAAAATAAAGATTTTTGTTTTTATTGGCGTATTAATAAAACCGAAGTTAAAGATGATTTAAAGAAAATGAAGTGTGGAAAAGCTGTTAGATATGATGATATTCCAATAGTGGTATAAAAATACTTAGGAGATAAAGGAATTTTTTTTGCTTACTAAACTTTTTAATACTGTTTCGAAGACTAAAAAGATGTAGATGTGTGAAGAATGAGTATATTAATTCCTATTTTTAAGAATAAATGTGATGCACAAGATTATGCGAATTATAGTGAAGTTAAGTTAATATGTCATACTTTAAAACTATGGGAGCAAGTTATGAAGCGTAGGTTGCAGCATGATACTAATGTTTCTCAAAATCAATTTGGATTCAAGACGGGTAGGTCTACTTTGGAAGCCATACATTTATTGAGAGTTTTGATGGAGAAATAAGCATATACGTGAAAAGATTGGAGTAGCTCCACTGGAAAATAAGATTAGAGATAGACACCTTAGATGATTTGGTCACATAAAACGGCAGCTTTCCAATGACCCATTTAGGTAAGTAGAGGTATTAGATTTGATTTATGTTAAGTAAGTTAGAGGTAGACTTAAAAACTTGGTTAGAAAATATTAGAAATGAATTTTATTTATTAGATTTATATAAAAATTGACTTTGAACATAACAGAATAGAGAAAAAAGGTTCATGTAGCCGACCCCACGTAGTGGGACAAAGGCTTGATGTTGTTGTTGTTATAGAGAAGGCTTAGATGTTTTGATCACATAAAACGTTAGCCTTTAGAGGATATGATTAGGAGAGTAATTGAATTAAATCCATCTTATATTAAGAAAGATAGAGATGGACAAAATAGAATTGGTTAGAAAGCATTAAAAATGATTTTTTATCAGATTTAAATTTTTTTATATTTATCCAATTTTAAAAATCAAATAAATGATCAAAAGAACGACAACCCCATAAATTATAAATATCGCCAAATATTAAAGAAAAATTGCAACTATAATATGCAGTTAATCAAACTACTAAGCGTGATTAAGTTTTCACTTAAATAAAACTGTAAGATTTAATATTTCAGTCAAATAATTTATTTGACTTAATATTAAATGGTACCCCATAAAAAATAGTATTTGCAATTAAGATCATTCTGATTTATTTTATTTAATTTGTGACACCTGGTCGATTTTTTCCCCCGCGACCGAATGTCCATAGCCGGGCAACTCGCCACGTGCCCGTGGTAGATGATTTTTTATTTTTTATTTTTTTATTTAAATAATAAATGAATATGGTCAAAATAATGATGAGGTGGAGGGAAGTTGATTTTTGAGGAATCGAATTTGGCGTTTTGTTAAAATAATAATAATAATAATAATAATTAAAAAAATATTTCATCATGTTTAGGGTGTAAGTGAGATGAGCTTATAGGGTTCACGAGTCAAGTTTTAGCAGAATTTCGAGCCTGAGTTCAAACCGCGAAAGGTTCGACTCGAATACTCATTGAGCAGCTCGAGAAGATTGAAGCACATCAGTGCGGGTGCGTACGAGGGGGCGACCTCGAGTGCAAATCATGGTATCGTGTGCAAACGTGGCAATGGCGGGATGGCAGAAGTCGTGGAAAAAGAGTGACAGCCTCGTGTGACGACCTTCGAGGTAGCAGAGGTTGTAGGAAGAGGGCGGCAGCCTCGTGTGCAAATCTATGCAACAGGAGTTGCGGGTGAGGGAGGTAACATCATGTGCATACCAAGGCAGCGTGAACCTCGGAGTGGGAATGGCAAGAAAAGTCAACTTTCAAGGCCCACAGGACGAGGATGATGACCTTGTGAGAGAGCTGGAGTAGAGGGACACAAGATTCGGACTTTAAATCACTGTGCCACGTGCACTCAGTGGGATGGAACGGGAGGTGCTCGAATCACTTGTGAGCTTCTTGACGAGCCACTCGCAATGAAACGAGTTGAGCTTAAGCTCATCTTTTGAGCTCGGCCCAAATTCGAGCTCAAAATTAAGCTCACGAGTTAAGAACGAGCTTGACTCGACTCATTTTCACCCCCAGTCTTCTTAGCGAACTTTTATTTGGTCTGGTGAACGTACGCAACTCTACGTTCGGCCGCCAGTTGAATTGCGCCACGCGTTTTCATTATTTACCGCGCGCTCCGACAACCCGACCCGGAACGGATCTAAGATTGCTCGGTATTGCTAGGTATTGTCGATTTTGCTCGGCAATAACCAATACCGAGCAATACCGAGCAAATACCTAGCAATACTCGTAGCACTAATACCAGAGTTTGTCATTCCTGAGTTTTCTAGCAATATCTGGAGCCAACCGATACCAAGCAACATACCGGTGCAAATCCCTAGCGAATACCGAGCAACATCCCCGAAACTATCTGAGTTGTACCGAGTTGTTACAAAGAAACTCGCGTCACGTCAGTCATTGCATGGTATTGGTCTTCAGAGAGCGGATTTCTCATTTTTGCAAGCAATTATCCTAGGCAATACATCGAGGCAAATACCGAGCAATACGGAATCTCGAGACATAAGATTCCCGGGTTCCCGCTCCGGAGTCAAGTCTTCGGCGGCTGGCGCGGTAAAGAAGTAAAGAGCCATGGCGACCATATGTTTATTGATGGCCGTACCGTAGCCTTTAGGTCGCGCATCGTAGACGTAATACTTGGTTGCTTCTTAGCACAGTGCATGTCGGTTTAATTCCCATTGAAGCTAGGGTCGGAGATTTCGTAATTTGCAATACATATATCTGTCTCGGAAGTGGATGCCAACATGGCACCGATATAAATGCGTCACGTCTTATAATCTATAACAACGTCACTAAGCTTTACGCGTGCCACATGAGCTTTTCTTATAAAGAACTATTTTTTTAATTTTAAAAATCCAATAAAAAGTAATTGGTTTTTTATTGTCTGATATAGTAATATAATAATATCTACCTTTGAATATCATATTTAATGGAGATACTAATATTGAAAAATATATCACATAATGACAGGTCAGATGAATAGCACTATTTTTAATTTTATGATATGTTAAATTATTTTGAGGATATATGGAGATTAGTAGATCTAAAGAGCTTTCATCAACTAAAGATAATAAAAATAATTAGGTTAAAATAATTTTTTTAATTTTTTATAAAAATATTTAAAATAGAAATTATTTTATGACAAGTATTCTCCCGGCATCCAATATGTGATTTGAATTTAATTATAAAAATGTCTAATTAAAATTTGACTTGAAATTTATGCTAGCCATAAATTTTTTTTCTAGATGTATCATTTACCTTCTATTTTTATCACTTAGACATGTTATGTTCAAAAATAAATATAATATAATTAATCATATATTATACTCATTTTAAAATAAATTAATAGGCTTTTAGCTATTTTTATTTAATTTTATCAAGATATCTTGATATAAAAATTCCATATAGATACACGTCACATATCAAAAGGTGATTAAGGCTTCGTTTGTGATGACTTTTTTACTGTTTTTTAAGTAATTTTTTTCTATAAAAATTAAAAAATTTTAACTAAAAAATTGTTTCAAAAAACAGCAAAAAAACTGTCTCAAACAAAGCCTAATTAAGACTTCATTTGAGATGGCTTCTAGCCTTCTATACCGATTTTTAAAGCAGTTTTTTTGTGCAAATATAGCTTAAGTATTCGTTTAGGATGACTTTTTTAATTTTGTATTAAAATTTTGTTTTGTAAAGCAATAAAAAAGTCCCCTAAATGTGAATTACTTGATAAGTATTGCGTTGGTTTTAAAATTAATTTATTTTAATGATGAGAGATAAATTTGAAAATATATGATTAAAAAACAATTTAAAAATGATATTTGCTTTCAGCCTGAAGACCCCCACTTGTGCACGACTGCAAAGCCGTTCGACACCTCATCCTCTGGCCTATATAAACTAATGCAGCGTAACGCATGTTCCCGCTGAATTCCACAGTTGAGCTCGATCTTCTCGTCGGCCTTAACCCACCTAATCTTTTAAAACTCCATGTGAGATTATAGCCTCACAACTCATCTTCTTCATAGAGCTTACTACACCATTGCAAGGATGGGATCGATTCTTCACACTATTCTGATCATATTCTGCTCCTTCTTTGTTCCTCTTGCCTTCTGCTTGGTTTCTCTTCTCTTGATCAAGATGATAGAGAGCTGCAAAAGGAAAGAACCACTGCCGGAAAAGCTGCCGCTGCCGCCGGGATCCATGGGATGGCCCCTCATAGGCGAGACCTTCCAGCTTTATTCCCAGCATCCCAACAACTTCTTCGCCACCAGGCAACAAAGGTACACTTACACTTGAAAAAAAAAATGTGAATTTTAAAATTTGGATTTTACGTTATGATTAGTGCAATATACGTGTTTATTCATGCATAACACTATCTTAAAAAAAATTAATTTTAAAAATTCAGTTTACTAGAATTTTCTTCCCTGCAATATATGGCTTTTGTTTTTTAATTGAAATTAAAATTGCTTTTGATATAATTTTTTATTTATTTTTAATCTTTATTTGATATTTCCTTATTTTATGCGGGTAATATCTCTTGAAAAAAAATTGGGAGAATTTTCCATTGTTTAAACTTGCAATTTTACAGAGAAAATTTTTGAATAAGAATATTTCCATAAAATTATGATTAAGATTGATCTCAAAAACTGAGTAATTAGATTGATCTCAAAAGTTTTAAATTTTATTTTAGAGAGGGCAGCACAAATTTCTCAAAATGTTATATTAATCTCAAAATAAATTTCATAAATTGAGAATTACGTTTTATTTTGGGACAATTTTTTTTAAGACAGCTTTTTTATAAAAAAGTTTTTGAATTATAAGTTTCTGTGTTAAAATGCAGTAAGAACACTATCATAATGAGATGACTTTCTTACTGTTTTTTAAAATAGATTTTCATCCCAAACGAAGAAACAAAAAATTTTGATTTTGACTCAATTTTTCCTATTTTAATGTTTATATGTTAACTATTTACATGGCTAGTTTTTCAAATAATTTGTTATACATGTTGCAACCCCTATTATCAGTTAATTTCCCATCTATACAACTCGACCACAAAATTAAACTAAAACTGTAAAACATACATATTCTCCACGCACGCAGGCTATAATTCAACAATCTTTTTTCTCTCTTCTGTTAAATCAGGCACGGTGAGATATGCAAAACGCACCTTCTTGGCTACCCCTGCGCTATGCTGGCAAGCCCCGAAGCCGCCCGCTTCGTCCTCGTCACCCATTCCCACCTCTTCAAGCCAACCTACCCGCGCAGCAAGGAACGCTTAATCGGTCCCTCAGCTCTCTTCTTCCACCACGGCTCCTACCACACCAACCTCCGCAAGCTCGTCCGCGCCTCCCTTTCACCTTTCTCCGTTCGCCGTCTAATCCCCGCCATCGACGCCGCCTCCTCCTCCACCCTCCATTCCTGGAACGGCCACATCCTCCCTTCCTTCCGCGCATTCAAAAACCTCTCCTTCGATATCGGCATCCTCACCATCTTCGGCGAGCATTTCGTCGAACACCTTGGAAAAACCGAATTGCGACAAAACTACTTCATCCTCGACAAGGGTTACAACTCGTTTCCAAACTGCATTCCGGGAACGCTGTACAGCAAAGCGATGAATGCGAGGAAGAGAATTGGGGGGATACTGAGAGAGGTCGTGAAGGAAAGGAGGGTGGTTCATGGAGGGATGAAGAACTTTCAAAAGGATCTATTGAGTTGTCTCATGGAGTGGAGAGATGATAAGGGCGAGAAGTTGAGTGACGAGCAGATCTCTGATAATATTATTGGCGTGTTATTTGCTGCTCAGGATACTACTGCGAGTGCACTTACGTGGGTCGTTAAGTACCTCCATGATCATCCGAAGATACTGGAGGCCGTGAAGGTAGGCAAGCGTCGTTGTTCCTGCGTAGAAATTTAGACAAACGTGTTTGATTTCTCATAACTATAAATGATCGAGCTGTGTTGATTTTGATTTCTTTGCTTGCAGGCTGAACAGATGGCGGTGTATGAGTTGAATGGAGGCGGAAGTCGGCCATTGGAGTGGGCGCAAAGTAGGAGCATGAGCCTTACGCACAGGGTAGGTTGGAATTCAGCGATATCATAAGTCAAGTATTTTTTTAATTTCTTCAAAAATAATTGATCAAACCAGCTGATTATACGGTTAATGATTTGAAATGTTTTTAGTTAGAATATTAAATCAACATCAATTCTATAATTCTTAAGTTTGATTTCATATGAAATAATAATATATAAAAAAAGTTTGCATAATTAAAATTTTGGTGATCAGCCAATTATTTTTCTCATTAATTAGTCTTCTATGTCAATATTGTTATTACCTTTGGTTGATCAAAATATTTAATATAATTTAGGAATTATAATTTTATTTGACAACTTTTTTTTTTGCTTCTTTTTTATTACTTCATAAAAATTTTTATAGTACAAAGCTATTTTTTACAATTATAATAATCACTTCCTAGAGTAATTTCATAATTAATTTTATAAAATGTTGAAGCCATCCTAAATAGACTTTTAAAGTTATTGAATTTCTTTTGGAATACTTATAATACATATATAATTTTAAATATATTCATCTCAAAATACTTGCAAAAAATTTGATATGGATATCCTGACCTAATTTTTTGGTGGGCATAACTCGCTATCATTTACAGAATACTGCACGCAAAACAAAATTTTCACATTAAAGAACTGTGAGCTATGCGCTGTGATCTAATATTTATGGAATTTAATTAATGGTTTTTTGTAATGATGGCACAAAAAAAAAAAGAAGAAGAAATATGTGCTCTTTGAGGAATTACGACAAACAAATTGATACAAAATGCTCAAAATATATTAAATGAATTTCTTAATAATGAGGATCATAATTTATGAAATTTCAAGCTGGAAACTGTTGAGATTCTCTACATCAGCAATTACTTTTTTCTTAAAGATCACAAGTAAATGTCCAAACAATTTAATAAATTCTATGTTTGCCGTCCCTCGAAATCTCTCAACACTTTTATTTTTTAGGCTTCGATTGAAATGATTTTCTTACTATTTTTTAAAGCAATTTTTTATATAAAAAGTTGTTTTAAGAAACAATAAAAAAATTATCATTTGAGACGGTTTTCTAACTTCTTCTTGAAGCAGTTTTTTGTACTAAAAAGCTGCTTTAAGAAGCAACAAAAAAACTATTCCAAATGAAATCTTAATATGCTAAAAGAGTTGATTTTGAAAAGTCTTCAAGCCATGCAGTTTTACAGATGTCCTCTTCTCTTGCATGTGTAGGTTATATTAGAAAGCCTGAGGATGGCAAGCATCATTTCCTTCACATTTAGAGAGGCAGTTGCTGATGTCGAGTACAAAGGTAATTGAACTACTAACACTCTTCTTGCTAGCTAATTCAATTTAAAAGTCTGTGTTGATTTCATTAATTAATGAACTTAAACTCATATTAGTTAGCCTAATTACCTTAGATTAGTATATAAGCTAAACTTTAATTATTTGTGCGCAGGGTACCGGATCCCTAAGGGATGGAAAGTGATGCCTCTGTTCAGAAATATTCATCACAATCCTGAATTTTTTCCAGATCCTCACAAGTTTGACATTTCAAGATTCGACGTATGTGCCTTCCCCCAAATCTTTTCTCATTTAAATGGGTGTCACGTTAATTTCTTAAATATTAGTTGACGCTGCACTTTTATAATCAGGAAATAATGAATCTACTTGAGATGACTGTAGAATTTTATGAAAATGATTATTAAGATATTGTGGTAAAAGAGTGTTAATATTATAAATAAATTTTTTTTAAGGTCTTATTTAGGACAGCTTTCTTATTATTTTTGTACTAAGAAACTGCTTTATAAATCATTAAGAAAGCCGTCCCATAGGAAGCCTAAATCGTATGGTTATTTTTTTAAAGCTACCGTAAAACAGCCTTGATGCGGAGAATATTAGTTATAGTATTTCTTAGAAGTAGTTTATTTAAGTTTGTTACTAGTTTCTAGAATATTCTTAAAAATGTTTCTTAGGATTAGCTTATTACAAATTTCTAGAATGATCTTATTAGTCTATAAATAAGTAAAGTATTGTAGTAAGAAGGATATTGATGAATATTATATGAATTGAAGACTTTAAGCTTGGCTTGTTATTTGGTTCTTAGAAATCCTTCAAACATCCTCTTCTTCAAATGATCCAACGATTTACTCTCCTTAATTTCTTTTTGAAAAATAAGGAGAAATTAATAACCAAATTGAATTGTAGATGTGGCCTTAAAAATAAAATAATGAAAAAGTTGTCTCTAACATACACTATATTTGAATTTTTTTTTCTATTGCATCTTAATTTTTAAAGCAGTAATGACCTGTAATGCTAAAGCAATTAGAACTTTTGCAGGCCTCTCCAAAGTCCAACACCTTCTTGCCCTTCGGAAATGGAGTTCATTCTTGCCCTGGGAACGAGCTTGCCAAGCTTCAGATGCTGATCTTCATCCATCACTTGGTGACCAAATATAGGTCAGTTTCAGACTGTACATTAATGCTTTTTAGATCTTCTTAATTACAAGTTCTTTAATTTATTGGTTCACTAAGAGATTCATATCAAGTGATTGGAAGGAAATAAACTCTTAGATTGGCTTTCTACTGGTCCAGGTTCGAAGTGGTGGGATCAAATAGCGAGGTGGAGTATTGCCCATTTCCGGTCCCAAAGCACGGCCTTCCGGTGCGGCTATGGAGCGTTGCCGACGAGGACGGTGGCAGGGCGTGAGATGCCACAAAGGTGTTTGACGAAATGCCTCCAACGGCTAGTTGTAAAGCATGGCTACTTATTCGAATGCAAGGGAGGAAGGATACATCGCCTACTAATTATTTTTCCTTTTATTGCCCTTTTTTGGACTCACAATACAATCATTGTGAGATCCGCCAAATTATGTAAATTAGTTATGTTGATTGTTTTGCAACATGTAATACAATCATTGTGAGGTCCCCCACAATAAATGCAAATGGTAACACCGCAATGTTTACTATGAATCCTCTGTCCCTCGGCTCACAATACAATTACAATCATTGTGAAGTTCACTGTAACTATGTAGAATGTTTTCGCATTATTCTCTTACTAAAATTTAGAAAAAATTTGACTTAAAATATTTATGCTAAACTTAACAAAAGGATGCAATTAATGCAAGACACTTAATGTTAAATTGTCACGTTTTTTTTTAATAACGAAACACCAGCAGGTGTTAATTGTGGAAGTTAATATTTTCAAGAATTTCAAGGAAAGAACGTAGACTTAGGGTTAGGGACCTAAGTTATCTGAGTCGGCTCGCCAGCTGGATCGAATCTACTTGTTAATCAATTTATGAGCTAAGTTTATCGAGCCACAAATTTGAGCTTGAGGTTACAGTTGTACAAAGTTAGGCTTAGCTGGTAAACTTTTTGAACTTAGTGAAAATTCTGTTGCCGTAGAATTCAATTCTGTGGACCATTACCGGCCGAAGAAGTTGATTTTGGAAGATTTATGTTTGATTTCTGTGTGACAAAAAGAGTTAACGGTTCATTTTCAATGTAAAGCTACTTGGCTTCTGTTTCTGCCTCTTCTAGGAACTCAGAGAATTAATATTTTTCTTTAATTCAAAGTTCTTGACTTTTTTATCATAATGGACCATACATGTAGCTGATGTGTCTTACATATGAGAGCAGAGACAAGATCATAATCTCACATTTGACGAAGTTAAGGGGCCGTTTGGTTGATGAAAAAGAAACGAAGAGGAAAATAAAATATAACGTAAAACTAAAATTATTTGGATGAGTGTAAAATAAACGAAATTGAAAGTAAAATGAATGTAGTGTAAAACTCAATGATGGTGATATCTGATGGTTGGTGGAAGGTGGTCGGAGGGACTATAGTCGGTGGGCGATAATGATCAGAAAAGTCCGTTGTCTGGCGATGAAGGTTGGAAGGACCGTAGTCTGGCCATGGAGGTCGGAAAGACCGTAGTCGGCGGGCGACAGTGGCAAAAAAATCGTTGTCTGACAACTGATGTCAGAAGGACCGTAGATCGATGGCAGACGACATTAGTCAGAAAGACTGTTGTCTGATGAAAGAGATCGAAAAAATCATAATCGGCAGCTGACAGTGCGAGTGGTGGTTGGCAGCGGTTGAGGCAAGCGTGGCAGTTGGAATGGAGGGTGGTGGTTGACAAATAGAGGTAGGTGGTGACGGCAGCTGGCGGCAGCGATATGAGAATGTTGGTATGAGCTTTTAGAGCATGCATAATACTTGATGAGCTTTCTATTTGTTATAAAATTTGATACATTGAGTTTAGTCTTATATCAAATTGTTAAAAAAAACTATATATTAATACACGTCATGCATATATATGCTAATTTTTTTTATTAAAAACAGATATGTGACTGGTGGTAGGTGAATGTTAAGACATGTGAATTTGGGAATTCAATGTCAAACTGTATCGTTCCAATATATGAATATAGAAATATAAAATAACCAGCCCTCATCCGTCGCCTATATGCTTAAACTTCTGGAACAAAAAAGAAAAGTGGCCACTTACGTGTCCAGCTTAGTCTTGATTCACTCTTGATAGATACAATCATGCTTAAAGCTAACGCTAAAAGTGTTTGGAACTTGGGGCAAAAAAGGGCTATTGGGTTTCTAGATGTTGCTTTTATTCATTATATGCGTTTTTCGTTAAGCTTTTTAAGGCGTTTTTTTTTTTGGAACGGGGTATCCAACCGCTGTCACTCGCAAAAGAGTGCTTGGCAGCGTGACTAATCCTCAGCTGATCTAGATTGGGCCTCACTTATGAGGTACTGCCACGTACTCGCCCACCAAGCAAACTAAATATGGGTGGGTTTTTTTAAATCAGTTTAATTGTATGTGCGGCATTTCAATATGCTAAAAAGCCACCGATGTCATAATTATATTCATTTGCTATTCTTTAACCAGTGTTGTGTTCGCTTTTGGTTAGTTTCTAAAAAGCATGGATGCCCAAAGTGGGACTAATTATGTTATCTTACCATAGTTTGGTTAGGCTTCTGCTACTTTCTGTAAAGTTTTGACTTGCTGGATATCACAGGCAGCTGCCACCTGAAAGATTTGGAACAAATGTCTGACAGAATCACTCACCATGAATATTCAATGGCCAAAGTTGGAAAATTACTTCTGTCTGCAAGCAGAGTCTGTTCACGTGGAATTCAATTCAGATTTTATATAGAGAAAATAGGCATGCACTATGTGAAAAGAAAAATGATTAGGTGGATCACACTAGCATTTTGAGAGAGAGAGAACCCACCGCTGTTTGTCCAGGTGGTGAAGAGCCGGCTGGGCAAAACCTAGGTCCCTAGTTCGAATCCCTTGACAAGCAGTGAAAGCCTTAAGTGTTGGCCCGTGTAAATTGGTGTGGGTTGCATGCCAGGTCGACCGGATTTTTCACTACCATAAGGACAGTGCTTCATCGTCACAAAGAGAGAGAGAGAGAGATTTTTTTTTCTAGATTTAGAATCTATATAGAATATCTTTTTCACTTCATAAATTTTGGGACTTTAAGTGTAATTTTGTTTGATTATTTCTTTATTAATATTTTTTTTCTCTACTTTTTTTTAGAAATTTTTATGATGAGAAGCTATTTTTACAATCATAAATGTTAATGTGTGAGAAATTTAGGAGATCAACATTTTAATTGTATTTTTTAAATATATTTATAATATTCACAATAATTTACAGAAATATTAATTTTTTCACACGAGCTTCACAATTATCTATACTACTATATAAAAAGCCACTTGTGATTATTTCCTAAGTTAATCTTGATCATACAAATGGCTTAAATCTAACCATATAAATAAAAAACTAGCCTTATTCATTGCCTAATAATAATAATTTTTTTTTTAAATTAACTAACATAATATTATCAAATTTAAAAGAGAAAATTTTTATCATTTATCTTCTAATATAATACTGATTTTAGTGATATAAGTTGGAGTAAAAGCATCTAAATTATGTTGAATCTAGACTCTAATAACTTAGAGAAAAATAATAATAAACAAGCTTAACATTATCTAACTTAGAAAAAAAAAAAGATAATTAAACCATAAAGTATGCATGTAAACTTACATATACAAGCTTCAAAGTGCCCACCACATATATCTATGGAAGGGAAAAACAAAAAAACAAAGGCCATCATTTTTTAAGGTTGCTTGGCTGCAACATAGTGTGAAAGCTTTGAACAAATTCAAAATCACTAGTCTTTTAGCGGAGGTCATGCAAGACAAATTGGTTTGATAAAGATGTTTTAAGAGAGTTCAAATCAGCAAGACCAATATTATATATAGAGATGCTAACGTTCTAACAGTGATAATGCAGCAGTACATATTTTCAAATAAAAAATGAGCTATCTCTTTAGTTAAGGAGCCGTTTGGTATCCAGTTGAAGGAAGGAGTTAGTCGAGACTTCACTTAAATCATGCCATATATAATTTTTGGGACTTAAAATTCTACTATTTTGATAAAACTCATTTCAGCCCCACCATTATTATTGGTTAAAATTCAATATTTATTAAATTCATCATAATATTTAATGGAATTAAGAATTGCTCCCTTACATATCATAAATATTGAAATGAATTGCCAAAAAAATTATATGAAATTGATAAAATTTAATAGTAGTCTTTCCAAACAATTTTTGAGTTTTGATTCTCTCAAGATTTACTAGATATGTCGCCAAAAATTGCCTTGATCGAGCACGAATCTTGAGACATATTCAAGTTGAAAACTTCCAAAATTAAATTTGGTTTCATCTAAATTCTAATTTCAACAAACTTATAGTAAATTAAATGACTCTAAGAGATGAACCTAATGACACCAAAATTGATTCAATCTAAGCCCAAATAAGTCCAAATTGGTGGCCTAAAGCACATTTATAAGAAGGTTCAAACCACAAATTGGATGACCATATGATGTCCAAATATCACATGCTTATAATTGAATTGAGCGCCTAAATGAGAAGAATCCAACGAGCCTAAGATCGCTTAATTCTGACATTATTTGGGCATATAAATGGTTGACAAACACTATGATTGAGGGAATCATCTCGATTCTCGAAGTTAGTTTTGCCTTGCGTATTTGATAGAAAATAACTAGAGCTTGATGACCTATTTTTTATTACTTTCTTAAATACTTTCAGTTTATGGGTGAAAGTTGGCTGAATCATTCCACATGAATATAGAGAATATATGGGGCAAATTCAGAGTGCTAAATCAGACGACTCATATTGATTACCTCAAAAATTTAATTATAATTGGACTTCCATTTCTTACATGAAGCGGGACTTGGAACTTGGCCCTGTGGCCAGAGATTAGATAGGGCCATGAGGCTTTAAGGATCCTATAGTTCTAAACAAGCATCACCATCGGTGAACTATCGTCGACCACTGTCTTTCTACTGCCTGACAGCAGACCATCGACGGACCACTGTCTGCAGGGACGAAGCCAAAATTTTTTATTAGTAAGGGCACAAATTAATGATTTTCAAATTACTCTTGATATGTATATAAAATTTTAATAAGTAAAATAGTTAGAAAAAAATATAATTATACACTGTTTTTTTTTTTTAAATTAAACTACTCACCAAAATTCATTTTCTACATTTTCTCGATGCTAATTTTAAACCTATTTCCATATTTAAATAAGTTTAAAAAATTAGATTATATCATAAAAATTAAAACTTTAAATTTACAAAATGGTTGAATCTAACCCTTTAATTTCCAACCATTACAATATAATTGATACATCATCAAAAAATTATCTTGATCGGGCACGAATCTCGATGCAAAATTGAGTTGGAAACTTCTAAAATTAATTCAGAGACCATCTCAACTCCAATTTCAGCAAACTTGAAGTCAAACTGAAAGTCTCGGAAATACCAATCCAACGACACCAAATTCGACTCAATCCGAGCCCAAATAAGCCTAAATAAAGGACCCGAAGCGCTGTTGGAAGCTTCATAACACTGTTTGAGTTACCAAACGGTGTCTGATTTTAACGAGCTTATACTCGAATCGAACGGCTCGA